CGCACCAGGATTGTAAAAGTGTATGGGGGCGGCAAGCTGAGGGGCAAGGAATTGTGGGGGGGCAAAATGTAGTGAATTCGGTAGCGGGGAGAATAAGTTGGATGGGGTCCAGAGGCAAAGCCCCGGTTTAGGTCCAGAGGGCGAACCCCCTGGAAGCGCTAAGCTTTTAGCATTTTTGAGGTGAAAAATCATATCCTTTAAACAGAGAAATAAACACGCTTGTAGAGCACTTTCTGGATCCATATCCAAAATTCTATTTACTGAAATACTCTAGTAAGCACGTCGCAGTCAAAGAGAAAGGAAACAATTTTGATACAAAATATACGCGTAGGCCTAACTATGAGAAAATTATTTCACTTATAATTACATCACCTCACATGTTATTTTTTAATACAGATCTGATCGCCCGGCCGTGGCCGTTACCCGCACCAAAAGGGATAATACATTGCACACGGTATCAATCTTGAAATCAACGCTGAAATCAACAAGTGAACGCTAGTGTTGTAAATAAAGGCTATCCACGGAAATTAGCTGTTCGCGGGACAAATTAGGGGCAAAATCGGTAGTGGCGCGGAATGGGATGAGGAATTTAAGCGGACATTTTCCGCCAACATCGAAGGTTGCGGGCGTCTGCCACTCAATGGAATGGCAAATTACATAGACTGCGTTAAAACCAAAGATTGAACGCAACATTTTGGGCCTATGGAGTAAAATTTATTGTGATTGCTCCTGTGAACTATGTCCTTTACCGTTTGTAATGAGCTGACTTGGTAGGGCGGGAGGCAGCTAGGGGCAAGGCTTTTGACTGGAGGGGGGCGGCACCCCTTGGCGCGCACTGGTCATGCCGCCTTTCTTTTTACTGCATAGTATAGGTTTGACTCACATAATATGTAGACATGTTGAACTTGTACAGCATGTTTAAATTAGAGCTATAGTCAGTGGAGCTGGGACTAGGGTTGTTTTTAGCAATGTCTATTAGACACGCGTGGCGCGCATCTTGATTCGGTACATTGATTATTAGGGAACTATATTTAAAGTGCTATTTAGCGTCGCGGAGTTTTACTAGGGTGACTGTGAAATGGGCTAATGCTCATTAGGAGTTGTCCCAACTTGTGATATCATTATTGAGTAATGTTAATGATGATATCCTAACCCTAGCTAACTAAATTGTATATTATACGTGTATATATGTAACATGTACCCTAATAATAAACTATATATATGTATATTGGACTTAATGACATTAAGTTGGGAACAGCTCCTAATGGAGTATCACTCGTGACTGGTGGTGAGCGAGCGGGCTGTAGACATGTGGGGTTATGGCTGGGTTTTGGAGAGAGTGAAGAGAGATGTAGAGGTCGGCGAGGTCTGGTGCGACGGCAAGAGGAAGCACCGAGCGTTGTGGCGTTGCGTTGTCTTTTGTGCAAGATGGAACACTGTGTGCGAGCAGTTTATTAAAGTTTATTCCGGTTACCACACAAGTTTTGGATCTACTTCATTATTTCTACATGAACTTTTAATTCAACGTTACAATACTATTCATGCGGGACACTAGCGCAATCTTTTCTGCACCAAACTACTTTCCTAGCTCCACTCTAAACTTTGAACACGCGATTTAAAAAAATCATTAATGCTTTCAGTGGATATTAGGCATGCGCGCACAGAGATCTGACGTTGTTGTTTATGCCACGTTATCGGGAAGTAAAAGAGACTGGGCAATTTTAGTTGTTAAAGTGAGGCATTACACGTCTCACATTTTATGCCATTCTATTTGTTATTCCGCACTCTCTATTTCAACCCAATTATTTTAGGAAAATAATATATGGCCTTTAGCAGATATTAGGCATGCGCGCACAGAGAACTGACGCTATAATCTATGCCACGTACGTTCTACAGCAGTCGGGGATCGAGGGTTGGCTAGGCAGTAGTGATTTTTCAAGTGAGTCGTCATCGTTGTCCTTTTTCATATCAAACTACTCAGTGAGTCAGCGCTACCTATTTTGAACACATTATTTATACAAAATAATGTAAATATCGTTTGGCATCTATACACTACGATTCATGCGCGACACTATAGTCCAGACTGACGACACAGATATGTAAACATTCGATTCACTGCGGATATTGGGATGTCGATGAGACAGTGACGTCCTAGTATTAGTATAACGTTTGGCATTGACAAAACATTTTGGAGTACATTACTCTGGAATCTACACTCTTTATTTTGAATCCGTAATTTTAAGAAAGTATAATTTTTTTTAGCAGATATAACAAATGCGCGCACAAACCTCTGAAGCTATTATTTATGCAACATTGCAATGCAGCATTGGCATTGTTTATTTTTCGTATCAAACTACTTAAGAGTCTCCGTTCTCTTATTTTGGATTCATAATTTGGAGAAAATCTGATTGCCTTTAACAGTCATTAGGCAAATGCGCTCACAAAGATCTTATGCTATAATACATGCCACGCCAAAGGGAAGTTTCATGCCGCACGCAGCGCACGGCACACACGCGCGCGCCGCACGCACAGCACGCACAGTGACGCACGCCACGCACGCACAGCCACACCACACACACACACACCACAACAACACACACACATACACACCCACACAACACACAACCACCACCACCACACACACACACACACACACACCACACACACCACACACACTCGTTTGTATATAGGTTTTTCTTTATTGGATTATAAAATAAATTTATGTATGCCTATATATAAGTTTTTAGTTTTTACATATACTATATAAATATTAGCAGCGGTAAGATTATGTTCTATATAGATCCTATATCCTATATTATGATATCTCTCTCTATATTATATAGATATGATATATATTATAGATTTATATATATATAAATATATAATACATATATATATAGATACTATATATAGATATATAATAATATTATATATACATTTATACTATATATATATATATAGATAGATAGATCCTATATTATCTTACTCCTGATATTATACATAAGCTATATAACGATCTTTGTTCGCGCATATGTCCACTATGTTCTTCAGGAAATGCTTTTGATTGAAAATATGAAGGTCGAGAGAGCACATAATAATCTTACTCGATATATCGGTTATTTCTTGAAACCGTATGAAAGGTATTACCTCGTTATTAGTTATTTATTATATAAAATTTTGTCCCTTGTGTTGTAACCTTATAAATTCGTAATAAAATTGGTCGAGAGGTGGCGACAGTGTATTAAAACTAAAGAAAGCCTTTAGAGTTTAGATGTACCTGACTCATTTTCAGACTATAATTTTATGCCATACACTGTTAATTGTATGTTTATAATGTTAATATACAATTTTATAGCTTGCGCACTCATTTTGAAAGTAGAGGCGAATGTAAGAGAACCGATTATCTCACCTGAGACGTAGGTGATTGGCGCGCCAATAGCGATGCGTCATAGCAGTCACGTGGTACAACAACCACCAACTGATTACGGAGGTTTGTAGTCTAAATAATAGTAATACATTACAGGTGAGATACGCGAATCATCAGAAAGTCCAATACTAGGAGTCAGGCAATATGGATTGATCATTTGCTGTTATTTGTCACGCAGTTGCAACTTCACCCTTCGTACTGCGGGTGAGTAACCAAGTTATATACAGATTGCATGCCGTACATATATGTCTATTATATTTGACACACCATCAGCATCAAAATCAAAAGACAAAAACCAATGCAGCACGCAATATGGCCGCGCCCATCCACTTATCCAGCCAAATTGTATGTATTTTATAAGTTATGTCGCTAACTTTATAAGTGCCTAATGAAACCATTTTTAATCTGTTACAGGTTGTTTACAATTGGAAGCGCTCTAGATAATGTTGCAAGTTAACCGAAATATATTCAGTACATAACTAATACTAATACTAATAGTATTAGTAATAGTATTAGTAATACTACAATCTACATCATATTCATAGTTCATACATCATACATGATACACGAGCTTGTGTCAAATCACTGAGTGAAACAGTGACTGAGACAGTGTTATACTGTTACTGTTAATAACTAACTAACTACTACTACTACTAAACTAAGTAATACTGTTACTATAATTAAATTAATAATAGTATTATTAATAATAATACTAGTAGTAGTACCTAGTAGTAGTAGTACTAGAGCTATACTGCCACTAGCCACAAATTACCATCTTGCTTCTCGCTACGCGACGAGAAGGTCACGAGTAAACGAAGTGACTAGGCATTGTAGCTAACAAAGCACTGAGCCCTAGTGCTGCAAAACCTATCAATATTAAGCTCAGGGAAGTTAGCTCCCAGTTCCCAGTTCCTTATTCGAATAAGGAACTAGTAACTAGGCAAAGCAGTTACCAGTTCCCAGTTCCTTATTCGAATAAGGAACTAGTAACTAGGCAAAGCAGTTACCAGTTCCCACTTCCCAGTTCCTTATTCGAATAAGGAACTAGTAACTAGGCAAAGCAGTTACCAGTTCCCAGTTCCCAGTTCCTTATTCGAATAAGAACTAGTAACTAGGCAAAGCAGTTACCAGTTCCCAGTTCCTTATTCGAATAAGGAACTAGTAACTAGGCAAAGCAGTTACCAGTTCCCAGTTCCTTATTCGAATAAGGAACTAGTAACTAGGCAAAGCAGTTACCAGTTCACAGTTCGAAATGCGAATAAGGAACTAGTAACTAGGCAAAGCAGTTACCAGTTCACAGTTCGAAATG